GCTGCTGCATGATGCTTCGGTCGAGGCATGCCCGTCGAGACCAGGGTATCTGTGCTCCGCGCTGGGTGGTGTTCCGGTTGTTCGAGGCGGTGACTAATCGGCGGTGGTCGGTCATGGGTTTCCGCCTGCAGTTTGTCATGCATTAGCCTAATCGTAGCCGTGGCGCTCTCTGACATGCAAATACGTGATTCCGAAGCCGTAGTTTTAGCATGTCACTGTCTCAGGTGAAGCCTGTGGCAGCCTGCTAGATGAATCTTCCTCTCGCGTCTATAACGCCATTGAATATGGATTGGGTCGTGTAGTGATCAGCCTGGTATGAATTGACACTGTCGCTGATATTTCTAGTCAGTTGGCGCCACCTTATGAAACATCAACAGTTTAGTGACAACCGTTTTTGTTTTGTTCCTTCTTTAAGTCTAAACCCCAATTAACTGGGTGGCGGTTTCTTTGTGGCATGATAAGCTTTTATGGCGGTCGGCTTTTAAGCAACTTTACAGGAATGGTTATTGTTCACAAGCCTGTGGGATATTGATGGGTTGTAACAGGGGCATTAAAACCAACGTCCTTTTCAAAACGATGGCGAAAGAGCGCTCTGTTTAGCGTGTGGTCCAATCTTCTGCATGCCGTGACGTAAAGCTCAGAAACAGTACTTGATAGCTGCACTTAGCAGGCCAAGTTATCTGCTTTCGTCAAGTGGTGATGCATTATCAACGTTGCCAGTCCACTTCTTCAATAAAATATTGATAAATTTTCACCACACGGAAAGCAGGTCGGTAGCTGACTGCTTTTGAAGTCATGACACTCCTTCGATTTACCAGCCAGCTGCCCAATGCATCTTGATTGCGAGGCTCTGTGCGTGTGCCTCGTGTGATGTAACGCGTGTGTGAGCGTTCCCACAGGCCGGCGAGGCCCGCCAGAGCACGCCGAGGCCTAGCCCGCTCGGCGGCGAGAGCCCTGTGTTTATCAGCATCACATTTCCCCGCCGACATCTACAGACATCGCAGACAAATGAACGCAATCCTAATGGCCCGGCGTCTGGGCGTAGTGCGCTAAAAGCCCTAATTTGATACCGCGAGCGCAACCCTTGCCCGGTGACGTCACAGCAGTCCAGGCCACTGAGACATTGCTCTCGCCGGCTCGGCTTACGACAGTCTCCTTCCGCGCCTGTTCCTCTCGAGTTTCAGACGTCGCCGTCCCACCCTCCCCCCGCGTCACCATCTGTACGGACGGCGCCGCCGTTTCGCACGCCCGTGTGTCTGATATAAACGATCCTGTCGCAGGTTCCGGGAAGCGGGACCGCGCCGCTCGAGTTCTGAGGCGCCGCCGATCGACTGGGGGCAGCGCTCGCGCGCGTCCAGTTCCTCCTGCCAGGGGCGCAGCGGTGGACGGGAGGAGATGTTTGCCCATTCAGGTTTGATGGCCATAGTGGACTTTCCCGACTCTGTGACCAGGTTTCGCCTGTGCTGGGTCGTGCGCAGGCTTCACACCAAGCTGCAGTGCTGTGTCACCACAAAATGCTCTACATCTACCCTGTAGTTCCGAATTTGTGAATACTGAAAGAACAAATTCGGTTCTAGAGAGGTTTGTGTGGAACATTGTTATTCGACGTCCGAAGATGGTGATCTCGAACGAAGCCGGCGGCGGGGTGCGTCAGCAGCAGGGAGCACAAGGGGGCCGGGCGAAGCTGAGAGATGTGCCTCCCTTTCGTCGTTCGTTTATGAGAGGGGATGTTTGGATTTGGTCCAAAGAGACACGGGTGTGTGTGTGCACCTGGAAACGATTGTTCACCTGCGCTCCAGTTCGGCCAAGTCTGGTCTATTCGCCCTCTGACCGCCGCCGTCTGCAGCCGTCATGCCCAGTTGATGACTGGGTGCCATTTTGCGTACAGGCAACGCGACGCAGCCTCCACGATCAAGCCGCCGGGTCGGCCCGCTCTCCACTCAGCGGAAGAAGCCTGACCATCAACGTCTTTGCCAGCCCGGCTCCCGCGTCCTCATCACGCTGGCCGACAGCCGCCGCCTCGCCGAGCGTCAGGTAGTCCCAGAGAACCGACCGCGTCTTCTCAGCCGGTCAGCACTCCCTCGCAGCGACACCGAACCCGCGCTGTGTCGCATCCACTGGCCAAGCAAGCCCTCCCAGCGATACCGAACCCGCGCTGTGCCGTGTCCAGCGGCCCGCACGTCCTCCCAGCGATACCAAACCCGCGCATCCTCCTAGCGACGTCGAACCCGCGCTGTGCCGCGTTCACGGCCTGCACGCCCTCCCAGCGACACCAAACCCGCGCTGTGCCGCATCCACGGGCCGGCACACCCTCCCAGCGACATCGAACCCTCTCTGTGCCGTATCCACCGCTCGCACGCCCTCCCAGCGACACTGAACCCGCGCTGTGCTGCGTCCACCGGAGCCGGCGCCGAAACGACGTCGTTAGCGTTTTCAGCGCCGCCGTAATGACTCTCACGCCACCTAATCAGTCCCGTGCCCGACGCACGCTCCCGGCTCATGCATCGTTCACGCGCGCCGCGACGTGGCGACGTGCCGCGTCCGCGGCCGACGCTGGGACAGACATGAGCACGTGGGCCTGACGAATGGGCACTGGCGGGCCGGCCTGGGCGTCCTGTGCACGCGGCGGTGCATGCGCGCACGCGAGAGTGCCGGGCGAGGTGTGACGACGTCGGTGGGGACTTTGTGACGCGTCACCCGCTCATCGCACCTTAGGCACGCATTATCGGGAACTGCGTGGTCATGTTGGGTTATGCTTGGCCGATGTCGTGCAGGATAACGCAGGATGCATCATGTTCGCGTCGCGTTTTTTGCTTGTCAGCTTCCGGCTGCATCGCGCATAACTGCAGCATAACAGCATAAGTGTTGGCGTGGGAGTGTGGAACTGCGCCCATGAGCCGCGACGGCTGTGTCCACCTGAGTCAGCGGGAGTGTGGGAATCCGGAGTCCGTCCACTTTAGTTCATGTCCACCTGAGTGCATGTCCGCCTGAGTGCACGTCCGCCTGCGTGTATGTGCACTTGCTCCTGTTTCCATGCAAGTCCATGTCCACCTGATTCCACATCCACCTGAGTTCATGTCCACCTGAACCTGTGTCCCCCTGAGTCCAAGGGGGCGTGCGATCGTCCACCTTTCTGCCTGGGCCTTCCTTCACGTGTCTGCTCATCCATCGGGTGCACCGGTCCGTTTGCGTCCACTGGTCCACGCCCACCGTCCAACTGTGTCACACGACATGACTATCGTGCACAACGGCAGCATAACATCATAACTGTTTGCATGTGAGTGTGGAACTGCGACCATGAGCCGCGACGGCTGTGTCCACCTGAGCCAGCGGGAGTGTGGGAATCCTGAGTCCATGATCATCTGAGTGCAGTCCATCTGAGTCCATTTCCATCTGATGCTGTGTCCGCCTAAGTCATTGCCATCTGAGTCCATGTCCACCTGAGTACATGTCCACATGAACCCGTGTCCGCCTGAGTCCATATGTACCTGAGTTCAAGGGGGCGTGCGATTGTCTACCTTTCTGTCTGGGTCTTCCTTCACGTGCCTGCCGATCCAGCGGGTGCACGGATTCCTTTCCGTCCACTGGTCCACCCGCGTCCACACGTGAGTCAGTGTCACCTGAAACAGCGGCGACGTGGCTATTCCAACGACAGGTCTGTGTTCATCGGAGTTCATGTGGCAGATCATCCGCACGGATACACGGACAGGCGCTCAGGCCCGATTCCATGCAGCACTTGTGACCACATGCGTCCACTTCAAATGTTGTCAGCTTATAATCACCTGCGTGTATTTCTGTCGTGCCGTGCTGCTCCGCACTGTCTGCGTTCACCTGGGCCCGTGACAGTGTGAACCCGGGCAGTGTCCGTGTACCTGAGTCTGTCCTGTCCGCGTTCGTGTGCACCTGTCCACCTGTGGCCAACGTCCATCTGTGTCCGCCGGCCTGCCTGTGTGGACTGGTCCGTCAATTTCCCCCTGGGGCCGACGGGGCTGTATGGTCACCTGCGTCCACCTCGGTCAGCGGTGCCGTGACGGTCCGTGTCCACCCAACACCACAACACCACAGAACCGTGTGACCGCTCACAGCCTCGCCTGTATCCACCTGCGTCCACCTGCGTCCACGCTCCCGCGTGATCGCTTGTATCCGCCCGCGCTCCGTTGCCGCGTCACCGTCCGCGTCCACCTGAGTCCACGGTCCCGCGTGACCGCTGTGTCCACCTGCGCCCACGTGACCGTGTGACCGACCGCGGCCGTGCCTGCGCTCGTGTTTGTCCGGTGAGCGCGCGGCGGCAGGAGTGGCCGGCCTGGCTGGCGCTGCTCCCAGCGGCACCCAATATCGCCCGGCCGCCGTCCCGGGGGATCTGACGCGCCAGGGACCCAATATAAGATTAATGATGCCCGCCTTTAGTTGGACTGCCAGCCCAGAACGATAAATGATGCACTGATTTCCGATTTTTGTAAGCAGATTAGATCTGCGGAGGTGAAAGGGGTATTTGCACAGGAGCGGCGTGTGTTTGTCCTGCTGGTGGTGGCGATATTAGCCTGCAATCGGGCGCAGTAGGCGCCCCCAGGCAGGACGCCGGAGCTGCGGCCGCGACGCCTGCGGCCGACGGAGGCGCCGGCACCGCATCAGCTGGGAGATGGAGACGCGAGCTTCATATCAGCTGGCGGATGAAGACGCTGACACCGCATCAGCTGGGAGATGGAGACGTCGGCACAGTGTCAGTATCGAGATGGAGACGTCGGCACACTATCAGCTGAGAAAGACAGACGTTTGCACAACAACGGGTAGGAGATGGGGATGTCGACACCGTATCAGCTGGGAGGAGACGCCAGCGCCGGATCAGCTGTGAGGAGAATCGACGCTGGATCAGCTGGGAGGAGAACCGACGCATAGGATGGGAAGTGACATCACACCGACTCTGGATCAGCTGGGAGGAGACGCCGGAGCCGGATCAGCTGGATGGGACGCCGGGGCCGGATCAGCTAAAGGAGACGCTGATGCTGGATAAGCTGGAAGAGACGCCGGAGCCGGATCAGTTGGAGGAGACGCCGGAGCCGGATCAGCTGGAGGAGACGCCGGAGCCGAATCAGCTGGAGGAGACGCTGGTGCTGGATCACCTGGGGGAGGCGCCGGAGCCGGATCAGCTGGAGGAGACACTGGTGCTGGATAAGCTGGAAGAGACGCCGGAGCCGGATCAGTTGAAGGAGACGCCGGGGCCGGATCAGCCGGAGAAGACGCCGGAGCCTGATCAGCTGGAGGAGACGCTGGAGCCGGATCACCTGGAGGAGACGCCGGAGCCGGATCAGCTGGAGAAGACGCTGGTGCTGGATCAGCTGGAGGAGACACCGGAGTCAGATCAGCTGGAGGAGAACACGGAACCGGATCAGCTGGAAGAGGAGATGCTGGTTCGGTCCCAAGTAGAGAGGGGCCAGATGAATATCAGTTGGAAGGCGGCATCCCGGGACATGACCAGGCGGTCCACTCTTCGCCAGTGTTGACCCTTCCGCCAGCCTCCATTGGCTGCGATTAGTAAAGCACGGATACCGCCGTGATGCTGAGCCTTTGCCAAGCTTGTGCTGTCACCAGCTTGCAGATCGCTGTACCGTGCAGACGACGTGAGCACAGGCGCGGCCTGCTAGGGTATGGACAGTGCAGGCCGGCTGCATTCATGGACACGTATGTCTGTCAGTCTGTCGCATTTACCAAACACATCAGTATGGGACCCATTTCGTTAGAACACTCCACACGAGAATCAAACGGCGCTGAGTCGAGGCACCGCTTCGTTCATCCCGCTGAAGTCCACAGTATGAGAAATCACGTCATACTTTTATGCTTAGCCATGTTTTTTTCAGCATTCCAGGAGCGACGTCTTTTGCAGCCGAACTAGCTAATTCTTGAAACAAATGTTGCCTCGAGCAAAGGCAACGCTTTGCTTCTGGGATCTGCTGTTATCAGATCCGACCTGAACGACCGACATGGCGTCTGACCTTTTCATCCGCGGCGCCATTTCTCGAGCTAATGATTTAATCCTGTAACATGCGTTCTTTGTATCAACCAGTAGCTACCCGCCATCTGTTGCAGGAGCGTGTCGCCTCGGACATCGTCTTGGCAGTCCAACCGTCGAGCGTTGCCAGGACAACCAGCTCTCGCTATAGGCCAGCTCATCTCCAGATTACGGCCCTCGAGTCGCCGTGGCGCCGCCACCTCGTCTGGCTACGTCCGACCAGTATGCCCGCGCCCCAGCAGCATGCCTGAGTTCCACCAGCACGCCGCTGTCTAACCAGCAGGGCACGCGCCTCTCACGCACGCCCGGCCGCCCGCGTGGGGTCCGTGCCGGCCTGTTTAGCTTCGCGGTCGTGCCGTCGCAAAAAGTGACGCCTGTCACTTGTACTTGTTACTGCACATCGGGCTGGCGGATGTGCTCCCTCCCCCCACCCCATTGAGTGGGGCGGAGGACGAAGAGGGGGAGGGGTGCGCAGGGGCTTAAGGGTGAGGTCAGCAGTCGAGGTGAGAGGTCAATCGGATGCGACCCACGCGGCCGGGATTGTGGGCCGGAGCTCTGCGCGTTCAGGATGCGTTAGTAGTCTGCTCGCGTTAGGTGTCTGTTAGTCGGCGCTTGCAGATTTGAGCTGTTGGTTGTGCGTAAACTCGATATGATTTGTATAAGTTGCGATTTTGAATCTTCCAAAAAAGTCGAAAAAAACTGAAAACTTACGTTACCCTTGCAACCCGTGCCGCAAATACGAATTTGTTGCATGTGGCTATGACTGCACGAGACCGATCTAATGTCCACATTTTCAGCATTCTAGGGTTACAAGCTGCGGCCAGGCGTCTTCTCCTGTGTATGCAAAGGTTGGCAATATGGAATAACCAACAACTAGTGTTTTGTGAACAGTGCACTGTTCACTGAAGTGATACAGTGACTACTGCATCACCGTAGTAAGGTCAAAAGCTGCAGCATGGAACAGATTGTCATTTCACACTGAGAGTAGCATTTCTATATTGTTTAATCATTTTGCTATGTGGTTAACATACGTGTCGTGTTGCGATAAATCGGCCGAGGTTGCGGTGTCTTTAATTCACTCACCCAGTGTAGCTTTAGGCCGATGGAATGTTCTTTGTTCTGCGTTCTTGCATTCAAGCCGGTCGATCGTTGCACTGTGTAAGTACGGCTAGACTGCGCGTACCAGAGCGTTTTCACATACTTGCCAATTTTATCGGTTATCTATCACCTGGCTTTTCTCCACAGACATCCCGAGGCTCACACCACATAGGTAAACCGAAATGAGGTTCCGGCCGTCGGAGTCTGCCTCGTCGATGATCCCCGCGGGCACTGCAAACAAAGAGGCGAGGTGTCCCAGCGGGGGCGTGCTCATCCCGGGTAGCCACGTGGTGTGTGTTGAGGTTAGATCGCAAAGTCAGCTCATCGATTGCTGCCAGTTGCCGGAGCGCCCAAAGCTATCAGCTATCCGAGCCCTGATTGGTTTGGGTCGAATCTGCCTGGTGGCCTTCAGCGGTGTTCGGTCCGCGTATAGATGCATTGATGTTCAGCATGATCAAGTTTTGCTGCTTGCTTACGCCTTTTTTGTTCTATGAAATGAGAGATATAGGGACGCAGAATACCTATCGGTCATCTTAATTTGTTGTCTGCTCATTCTTTCCTCACCGCATTTCCCCTTCTTTCTTATCTCACACCATGGCTAGAGATGGTAGTGTGTGCAAGCACGTTGGTCCGCATGATGCGAGCTTTATTTCTTTGTGGCAATAATGTCTCTACTTCAATCAACTGCGTGTAAGTATTCGCATCAGATTCCACTCATATGAAAGAAGATTGTGTGGTGCATAGCTCACGTTCACCTGAGGCGGATCTTCCCTCTAATAGTCTTTATGATGCTGGATTTTACTACAACTAGGTAATCATGGCTCAGAAATATGTGTATACCCCGACTTCATTACAATTCAAAGCATGTGGCGTCCACTGACTGGAATACCAAAGATACCTGGCCATAATGCTGCGCTGTCTGAAGCGTTATCTCATCCAGCACGCATCGGGCAGGACAGGGGCTCACCCTGGCGATTTAACATTACGGAAATGAGCCGATCCGTAGTAATGCAACCGCACCTTGGCTTGCAAGGCATGTAACGCAAACACAGCCGGCCAGGCGCTGAACCGTCCGTTGGCGACGATGGACGGTAGTATCAGAACTTCTGAAGACCAGCGAAGGAGAGATTGACTTTAGTGTACGTACGTTGACCTATGGATACTCGATTTGTAATTTAGTTTCTCATGTCTTTGTCTCTTATTCGTACAGTTTATGCTTCGATATGTATGTCCGCTGGATTTAGAAAGAGAGTCCTCAAGACCCATAAAACAACGCAAGGAAATCATCGCTGCTTGTTTGACAAATATAAAATGCGTGTTTTCCTTCTAACTGGATTTCGCAGCCCAAGATGCGTTTACAGTGGGCAGTGATACCAATGCAGTGGACATTACCCAAAAGTGTCTGATCTTATGAAAGTTTGCAATGACGTCAGCTGATACTTGTGTTGATTGATTCCTCCCCTCCCTCACCGTTGTTTTGGGGACAGACTGTACAACCTTGTTTTGCCTTTGACTGGCAAGTTAGTAACATCACTACACTACACACACCTGCTTTTAGTTCTGAGTTCTTATGTTGACAATAATCGACCTTCAGTATGTCAGCGGTACTGGTTACACGACATTATCAAGCAAACATTGGCTATTTTGTCAATACCCGACTTGTCAAGCTTCATCCTGCAGCGCCTACCAGCGCAGCAAGCACAACTGACGAACATGACGTAACAGCGCGGGGCATCGTCTGCCAGCCGAGTACACCCGACCCGGACACGCACACGGGCAGGCGCTAAGGTCAAGCGGCGCTGTGCAAAGTCTGCTGTCGGCGCGTCTGGCTCGTCTCAGCCGCGTCAGAACTGGACAGATCAGCTGATACGCGCCGCCGTTGCAGACGCCTTCTGGGCGGTCCGCGACCGCCGCCAGTCACACTCTCCCCAAACAAACCGACCCACTTAACACAACATTCGCACACCCTAATTACCGATGCGCTGTTTTCCAGCGCGCCTCTATCGGCGCAGCATCGCGACCGGCGGCAGACCCGGCGCGGCGGCGCCGATCCATCACTGCTCATTTCTTCTTTTATCGGGAACCCCCAGCTCGACGTGCGCCCCCTGCTGGCAGGCACGAGATCGTCGCCTGGCGGTGTCGGCCGTGACGAATCGGCCGCGCCGCGCGCGCGGCGAACAGGTATGCGGCGCTCGCGCCGCGCGGCAATGGCGGCGCCGTGCCGCGACGCGCCGCGGCCGCCGAGGGGAATTGGGCGGCGGACGGGGCGAACGCCGCGCGGCGGCGGCCGGCACACGGAGGCGAGGCGGACCGGTCACGGCGTCACGTGACTGATGACGTCAGCTGCGGCTGCACGCGCTTCAGAGGCGTGCGAACCGATGGAGAAGATCCTGGAACGGTTTCCGTGTGTGCCTGCGCTGTCGCACCGCAGCTCCACCGTAGCGCCTGTGACAGCGGCGCCGGGACGAAGCCCATCGGCTCTGTCGCGGAGCAGCCCCCTCAGCTCCGGCTGGGAGCAGCCCCTTGGCTCCGGCGCGGGGCAGCCCCCTCGGCTCCGGCTGGGAGCAACTCCTCGGCTCCGGCGCGGAGTAGCCCCCTCGGCTCTGGCGCGGAGCATCCCCCTCGGTTCCGGCGCGGAGCAGCCCCTCGGCTCCGGCTGGGAGCAGCTCCTCGGCTACGGCGCGGAGTAGCCCCCTCGGCTCCGGCGCGGAGCAGCCCCCTCGGCTCAAGCTGGGAGCAGCTCCTCGGCTCCGGCGTGGAGTAGCCCCCTCGGCTCTGGCGCGGAGTAGCCCCCTCGGTTCCGGCGCGGAGCAGCCCCCTCGGCTCCGGCCGTGGCGGCGACAACTGGCATTCCTGCGCTCCTGTACGGCCAATTTGTTTCTCGTCCGGCCCCCGTGCTGGTCGATCTATCGGCCAACCGTGCCCCGCGCCACGCCAAGGGTCGCTAATCGGTTATTCCTGTATTGTCGCGTGTTTTGTGTAAGTAATAGGCCGTTTTCTCCTGGGCGGCTCATTAAGTGATCGATCAGGTCCCGTGGTGGAACTAGCTGACTTCGGCTGACCGGGGCGCGCAGGATCGCATTAATAATCCAGCCCTTCCATTCAGGAAAAGTGTCAAAATACTTGGGAGGTCGCGTGCACCGATACGGAAAAGATTTCAAATCCAAACTATGTGCGGCTTCTTTGATGTTGACCACGCATGCTCGGCAAAATCGCGAGCCGGAAGTACATTGCGGTAGTTGCGGCATAAAAGGCATCTTGGAAAACGCGTGAGGTATCCCTTCATTAACGCTTTCTTTATGGGATGATAGTGTAATTTAAACCCTAAAATTTGGATTCTGCCGTGGCAAACTGGTTCCTTCTTTCCTTCAGATTGATGTGCTTTTCTCTACAATTCTTTACGAGCTCACATTAGAGCTCATTGGATTTATTTCTTATTTCCATGCACACGCTTATGAGACTATTTCATGCCAAACGACTTAAAAACAGTCAATGATTTCTGAAATGAACTTCCTGTTGTCCTCTGAGTGTGTGAATGTTTACAATCGTACCAAAGACGCGCACTTGATGACTGCCCCAGGACAGCGACAGGTGGAGTGGTTCCTTCCTTTGTTCATTGTCTTGTTGCAGATGATATGGTCTGCCTGTCATGTAATCCACACGGATGATTTGTGCTGTTCTCGCTTTCAGCTGTACAATCACGACTCAACCAACAGGTAGCCGCTAACATGACCGGAAGCTCCGAACCTGCTCGAGCCAGTCATGGCATCGTCCAGTTGCAGGAGCGTTACTTAAATACAGGACCTCCCCCTCCCCGGTCTCTGCGGCAGCACGGGCAGCGCGCAGCGAAATCAGCCCGCACCAGCAGCGGCAGCGCCCCGGTACTGGTCACGACTGCACCTGTGGCGACACGCACTGCGGGCTGCGGCTCCAATTGGCCGGCGACTATTTGTCAGCGGTGTCCCACGCGGCCGCGCTGTTCCGGTCCGCTCCGGTGACTCGGCTCTCGTGCGGGGGTGGTCCCCGGTCCGTTCCGGCGACTTGACTCTCGTGCGGAGGTGGTCCCCGGTCCGCTCCGGTGACTTGGCTCTCGTGCGGAGGTGGTCCTGGTCCGCTCCAGTGACTCGGATCTCGTGCGGAGGTGGTTCCCTGGTCCACTCCGGCGACTCGGCTCTCGTGCGGGGGTGGTCCCCGGTCCGCTTCGGCCGGCGGGCAGACGGACGCTCCAGAAGGAGGAGCAGGTGGCTGATGATGCCCCGTCACCGTGAGAGGAGGCGGGACAGCCTTGCGCCGACTGGGCGAGAGTGAGAAGAGTTACGCTAGAGTTGGAGAGTTAGAATACGAGAGTTGTCGCGGGCTTCGCGTGTGCGGGCTGTCCGAGCGCTTGGATGTGAGCGAGTGGAAGTGGCAAGACAAGGGGAGAAGTAGCAAGGCTAGGAAACTGCTCGTAGGGAAGGCCTCACGCATTCCATAAAAATGCATTTGAGGACTCAGATTTTTGCATAGAAGTGAATCTCTGTTCGAGACAGAAATTTGTGCCTTAATCTGCAACAAAAACGACTGTTAAGGATCGCGCTAACCAAAACATTTTGCAGTGTTAGCGGGATCAAGGGAAAAATTACTGAGTGGTATATCTAGGACCTTAGTAAACGCATACCACTGGGAATCTATTCACTTTGGCGGTGCTATATTCAAATGACCTCATTGCAGCGCAGCTGTCGAAAGTGTTGCCATATTTGATAGCATCACTATATGTGTTGTCATGTCAAAGTTGCCATAATCCTGTGATATGGTTCTCCGTGAAAGCGAAAACTTTGAAAACCATTTAAGCGCAACGAGTAGATCACGCATATTTAAAAATACTAAAGCGTCAAGCACCTGGTAAAAATTTAAATGCCATATATATCAGGATGGGGTGACGAACACTTCCACGACATTAGACGGAAACGATTTTTTGTTGAACGTAAACAATAACAAGTAGTTTAGTAACTACATCTTACCTTCCGTTGACCTGGTTGACTTAATTGTACCCGTCTCATTAAGCGAGTTCCATATATCTAGTATCATATATATATATATATATATATATATATATATATATATATATATATATATATATATATATATATATAGTATCATATATATCTAAGTATCATTATTGATTTATTTGGATCAGTTTCCTGAAACGCTCTATAAGGACACAACAAGCGACCGCTGGCATATGGATCGGCGACAAAAGATGACATCAGCTAACGCTCTTAATATCTCTTATCAGTTGGCGGCATTGGCCAAAAAAAACTCTCAAATAGATGCACTGAGTAATTCTAGCGAGATTATGGCCAATGTGGGCTTGCACATTCTAACTTTCGGATCAGCCACAAAGTGCCTACCCAGCCAGAAACGGTTAAGATGCATCCGTGGCGGCTAAGGCGCTGGATGGAAAATGACATTTATTCTTAGTACGGCGGAAATGCTCTGCATTGATTGACACGACACCTGTGCCTCCGATTGTGACAGCGTTTGCTCTTTGGTTTAAACTGATGGTGATGATGATGATTAAATCTTGTAAGATTAAATTGATGTTTGATCTTCCGCGTGCAGAAGCCCGTACGTGCCACCAGAGAAGCGGTTTGTTGTATTCCTGCCTTGCTACATGCTGCTGTATTCGTTTGTCTTCTCAGCTCTCGACCACAGCGATGCTGGTTTGAAGTTCACCTGTGCGTCATCCCGTGCATGAGATGTGCTGCACACCAGGTTGTATCACGCAAGATCGACCAACAAGGCTCAGCAAGTTCAGGTGGTAGGGTGCTCAGCGACCTGCGCCGATCTGCCTGGACTCAGGCAAAAGAGAGAAACAGTGCTGCTGTGTCGACCAGCTTGCCAGGCGGGCTATTGCAACGCAATCTCTACTGGAACGATGCGTACCTGTTTTTGCTCCTGCGGCCTGAATTGCCTCTTCCTCTAAGGCAAGGCAAACACCGGCCCATCTTTTTAGGCTTGTTCAATTACGCCAATTACCGGCACAGAGCCCCAACGAGGAATGGGATCTTGCGCTGTTGGGAGCGCGGGTTCTCTCCTTATAGACAGGAGGGAATGTTGTCAATGTTCCCCCACGAGGTTCTCTTTTTCCCCACGTTTTCTCTACCTGTCCCACATCCCTCAACTCCCAGCAAACGGTCAGCCACGGCGCTTAGCATTGACCTAATCTGACCAAGAGAAGGCCTGTTTCTCCCTTCGTGGTTGTTCTTTCCTTCGTTGCCAACGTTGAAGTGTTCAATTCTTGTCAACGTTGAAGTTTGCCTCCAAGCAAGCAAGAAATATGAGGCTTTTCATTTGTCTTGTTCCACCCCGGCCTGAGCATCGCTGGTGCCATCGCGAGCTCCGGTACATCAACTGTTGGCTTGACCTTAAACACATATTAGAGAGCGTGGTGTTGCAGCCTCAGTGCAACACAACGCGAGGTTTATCATAGCCAGCGCGCGGGAGATTTCTCATAGCAACGCAACGCGATGTTTATCACAGCCCGCGCGCGGGAGATTTCTCATAGCAACGCCACGCGAGGCTTATCGTAGTCTGCAGTTAAATTACTGTGAACCCCTTTTGCTGACCGTCCACGCTGATACGACTTTGGCTGCGGCGCGATGAAAATCCATAGACGTCAATAGCCCTCATGTTTATCAACACACGGGCCAATGACATGAGCCCGCCTTGATGCAAGCAACGTCACAGTGCCAGTCACAATCTCTGAGCCGGTTGTTTCTAAGATTGGAAAGGCTGTAAGCAGGAAAAAACGTTGTCGTGGTCACACACAAACGCGTCACAGATACTCAAGAGCTGCCGTGGCCAGAACTGTGAGCAGGATCTTCCAACGAGATGATTGAGTTTGCAAACAAATAAAAATGCTGAATTGATGTGCAGATTCTGTCCAGGCAACGTCGAAGACATGCTGCTGATTATCTAAAATGATAAAGGCTAAACCGTCTCTGCATCCCACCGTTAAGTTCCTCCCATATTCTGCCGAAAACAAAACCATGTGCAATGTTTTGTTTCTTTGAGAACACGAAATAACATAAGATATCATGACACAATGTGTGGTCCTACACCAACGGCGTAGCATTGCATGGTTCACCGAAACTAATCTCCAGTTGCATGCCATGGACCGGTCTGTTGATAACTGGCTG